CCCAATTCTATATAAAATTGAGTACAATTCAAGACTCAAATGAAGTTGAAAATTAAGCAAAAGGGAAACAGAAAAAGGGTAATGTTGTCAAATTAATTTTAGTCCAAAATAGACAGGAAGCTGCATAGAAATGGATAAAAAGCCAAAGATAAATTCTGGTGAAGAATTTTTAGGTAATACAGTGGGAGAAGAAGAAAATTAAAATGAATATTTCTTTCAAGGTCTATAAACTACCAAACAAGTGAAAATTATTCTTCACTTGTGCCAACAGAGGTTAAATAAAAATAGATTATTTCAGTGATGCCTCATCGACTTCTAGTTCACATGACAGAGCATCATTTTTTTTGCCGTCAATGTCCCTGTGGTTGTCTCCATCTTCCCTTCATTCTATTTTCTTCTACTGCCCCCACTAGAAAATTCAAATTACCTTTTGAAAACACTCTCTATCATTTTGTTAGTGTTATTTATCACATGAATTCTGGCTTCTGTTTAAACACAATATCCCATTATAATTATAGTAACTAACTATATAAATTGAACAACGTATTTCATCAGATTTTGTTGCTGCCTGCTCTTTGCATCCCACTCCATTCTCCTTTGAGCATTTTTCCTTTCATGAAAGTCTTTGAATTTCAAGTTCTCTTAGCTTTGTCCATATGAACATTTTTCTATTTTGCCCTCAGTCTTCAATGAAAAATTTTTGGTTTGACAATTCTCTCTCAGCACTCGGAAGATCTTTCGCTAGTGTCATCTGGTATCTATTGGCATCAGCTTGATTTTCCTCTTTGGTGCTCTGCTGATTCTCTCTGGTAGTTCATTGGATGTTTTCTATAGCCTCAATTTATGTTCTGCAATTTCCAAATGATGTGTCCAATGAGAATTTACTTATATTTAACCTGCTTAGTACTTGGACGGCACTTTCCATGTGGGATCCATATCTTTCTTCAATTCTGTAACATTTTCAATTATTGGCTCTTCATCTAACATTTCTTTAACGATTCTTCCATTCTCTTCTGAAATTCTTATTAGATGCATTTGTAGTTTCTCACTCTTCCCTCCAAATCTCTCAACTGTTCTTTCAGATTTTTTACTTCTCTCTCTCCCTGTACTGCATTCTGGCTAATTTCCTCAATATTATTTGTAATTTTTAATAGAATCTTTGATAGTGCCCATCTATTTATTTATTTAGTTTGCACCATCCATTGCATTTTTAAAATTTTTCATACCCATTACATGTTTAATAATTTTACATAAAAGGTATTACTTTATGACTTTGATCATCCTTAACATACTTATTTTAAAATTCGATTTGATTGTATTACAAAATTAATCTCATCTAGAATAAATCCACGTTCTAACTGTTGGTTATATTAGCATTAGAGTTCTTCATGTTTTGAAATTTTATTTTTCAGGCTCTTTTTGAAGAAGAAGTTCTTGTTTTTATCTCTTCCTCCCTCTCCTATGCTCATCTTCTCTGTTCAATAGGTTTGTGGGTGATGTAACTATCTCCCAGAGGATCAATGCCATAATGTTGGTCCAGAATTATTAATCCACAGTGATGCTCAGGATATCATAGATCCTATTCCAGGACAACAGGTGGGCAGTTTGGTTCCATCTCCAGTTGCTGGGCTGTTCTCTGTCTCATTCAGACCCCTAGACCAAAGCTTGCTATAAGGTCACAGTCCCAGAAAACAACTGACAGCCATTATTATCAGCTTCCTTTCCTGAGTGGGAAGTAACACCCCAGCCCATCTTCAAGTACTGAGTGAGCTCTGACTCCACAATCGAAACAGAAGAATACTGAGTCCCTATTACTCTGCCACTGCCTGCTTATACACCTAGCAAGCCTCTGGCTTCAGCCACCCTTACCACTTTGCAAACCTATTTCATTTCCAGTCCATCAGCTTATCTCTGAGGTGCTGCCTTTTCTCTTTTGTAGTATCTCTCTTTACCATGTAATTGGAAAAAAAAGGCTGCATCAAAGTATGAGGAACTATCATATCTTGAACGGAAATCCCAGCACTGAATTTTTTCTAACTTGATTAAGATTGAACTAGAAGATCATGAGAAAAGAAACCACTATGATGTGATGAAAAAGAGCAGTAAATTAAAAAGCAGAATATAATAATAATAGCTAAGACTTAGTCTATGTTAAGAACTGTTCCAAGCACTTTGCATGGATTATGTATCTTTTATTTTCATTATATTCTTGTACTATTATTATTCTTATAGCCCACACACACACAAAGGAACAAAGAGGCTACGTAACTTTCCCCGGGTCATACAGCCAGCAAACAGTAGATTTAACTCCAGAATCAGAATCTTAACTACCATACCGTACTGCCTAGTCCCAGCTTTGCCCCAGAGTAGCTTTGTAATCCTGGGGATGTTATTTCACCTCTCTGTGACAAAGTGTTCTCAACTGTGAAATAAGATGATTACACCAGATGATTTCTAATCTATTTTTCCCAACTCTAGTTGTCTAGGATAAAATGAATTTATAGTTCTGGTCAACTCCCTATTTCACAGTACACCCTTAAATTTGTTTTGGGAGCTATAATTCTTGGCAAATCTCCAAATTTATTTTAAAACAATCTTTAATGAAATATGTAACACATTTTAAAAAGAAAACTTCATCACTCAAAATGTTCTATAAGAGAAGAGAGAAACAAACTCTGCAAATAAATCATGAGCCTACGTTGATAATATCAAGTGAATGTCAATTCAGTAAGTATGAAATGTCTTGAACACAAATATAAAATTCAAACTGTTGGGGCTGGCCCAGTGGTATACTGGTTAAGTTCTCGTGCTCTGCTTCCTTGGCCCGGGGTACGCAGGTTTGGATCCCAGGCACAGACCTATGCACTGCTCATCAAGCTGTACCATGGTGGCGTCCCACATACAAAACAGAGGAAGATAGGCACAGTTGTTAGCTCAGGGCTAATCTTCATCACCAAAAAAAAAAAAAAAAAAATTCAAATTATAGCCATATGAGAAGTCTTGAGTTCTGGTCTTGTTCTGTCTCTAATGGAAATTTAACTTATTTGGACCTCAGTTTCCTTGTTTTTAAAGTGAGAGAGTTGGATTTTTGAGGTCGCTTCTGTTTCTAACAGTCTCTCAGTCCACAAACGAGAATCTATTAAAGTAGTTCAGTGAAGGTATTATTTGAATAGACTAAAAATATATGAAAAGCAAAAGCTGCTTTCATACCATGAATGACAAAAATCCCTGGGTCAAGTTGATTTCCTAATTTACCGCTCGTAGGAAGATGACATCTCTGGTATTTAGTTAAGAGTGTGGGCCCCAGTGAGATTGCCTGATTTAGTTTCTTTCTACAGAGTTACTTAAACTTTCTGGTCCTAATGGTACTCATTTGTAAAATGAGGATAACCCCAATTCCGACTTACTGTGATGATGAAATGCGATAACAAACTTAAACTGCTTATGCCTGACACAGTAGGTGATCAGTAAGTGTGTGCATTTATTAATAGTAGTAATTGGAATAATCAAGGGTGTTTACAGAGTCTGCATTCTTAAATATCTATTAAAAACATATGTGCACATCACCATGAATAACTTAGGTGCCTAAAGACAGAGGGGCACGACCGGGGGAACTTACAGCAATTTCTCTTACACTAACATCTCATACTGCATGTCTATATGTATTAGTTTGAAAAGTGATGATTTAATAGGCATTCAGTATTGTTTGATGCTTTATACATTAGGCAAATTAGAAACAGTCCCTGCCTTCACAGTAAAGGATAATATCTAAAACCTATGTACAAATGGGAAAAGAAGATGATGCAACAAATGAGAGACCTTAGCTTGCTGGTCACACAACTTCACGCCCTGCAACCAGAATGTATTTGTCAGTAAAGAGACAGTGCGAGGAACTACATCACTATTCCTTCCAGACTTCCTGCAATTGTTTTAAGACATGGAGACTCTACATAGCCTAAAATGTTTACCAGAATCTATTTTTCCATCTTTCTGGCTGAAATGGAGGAAACCAAATTGAAACGTAGTAAATGAAGGAACAAATAGAGGGTGAATAGAAATATTATAATGGAAGATTCATTTTATGAACACCCTTTGATTTTAATAAGAGTAAATTTTTATATAAATTCAGATATATTTTTTCATAAAATAAAAACATCAAAGAAAAAGAAACAAAACCACTGACCCTGCCCAAATTGAAAGCTCCTTGCTTACATTTGCAATTAGTGTATGGTATCTATTTTAACTCCTTCTTTGGGCCATAGCAACATAAAATTCATAACATCTGGCACTTAACTTAAAAAATTCAAATGGACTTAATTCAAACCCACTTTTTGACTTGAAAAAACTACAAAATCCTTCTTTTAGTTTATGATAGCAGTGACCTATTTCAAAGAGGTTCAGTAAGAACTGATGCTGGAAATTGCCTTGAAGATACAAATGGCTATAATTACCTTTGAATATACATATAATTAAACTAAAATGAATGTCAATAAACCAGCACAAAAATATGTAAACTACTCAGAGCACATTATTACAAAACAACAGAAAAATAATTTCCTTCGCTCTTTCTATAAAGGTAATTTGGACTATAATTTTCACATTTATCTGTATATATGAAATCAAATAATATTTTCCTTCTATTTAAACCATTGTTTTATTTTCAAAAGACAGTTAGATGCTATTATATATATATGCATAAATGCACTTTAAGTCATAGTCAGCATTTTACCTTAAGAAAAATATAAGCAGGGTAGTTTAAAAAAGAAATATTTTGGTAAGATTTGAACTGAAATAAACATAATATGGTATTAAAACATATCCACAGTATAGTTAAAATTCCAACTATTTCAAAGATATGTTTAGAACAGTCATTCTTAATAACATCAGAATCTTTTCACTCTTTCCATAGAGGTATTGCAGAGCCAGAAAAAATATAACGTTCATTTATTCATTCTGATTGCAGTTTTTAATGTAATTTGCCCTGTGCATCCCCAGTTCACCTTGTCAGAGAGTACTGCTTCCCCAAGGCTGCCCCAGGGTCCTGTTGACGGATTGCTCTAATTGCAGTCGGCGCTGTGAACAAGGCAGCTACTCCATGCTCCGCGAGCACACGGAAATAAGCGCCAGCATCTGGGGTTCCCACAGGCTTCCCCTACAATGAGATTCAGTTAAAATGTCACTGGGTAAAATGTCTCGTATTTCATTGAGAGTTCAATACTTACACATTTAACACAGCAATATTAATAAAATGGTGTTCTCAACATATCTTAGTTTTAAAATATTCCCATGTTCCCATAAATAAAACAAATGCCCAGGCATCAGAGAGGCCATTTGCCCCATTACAGCATACTAGAAGCTTTTCAAATTGCAATTTTTCCTTTCTCAAGCTTTGAAAGATAAGGACATGAAATATATACCACATTCGAATTAATAACATCCAACAGTCTCCTATTTGCCAAGAAATTAAATATGTGGTTTTGTGCATAGACTAAATAAGAAATATAGTTGCTCTGAATTTCTAACTTTAAATTTCTTTTTTCATGATCACTATCAGAAGCAACAATAATAATTCTCAAAATATTTGAGAAGAGAGAAAAATCTGGAGTCACAGTGACTTCTGAGCAATGACCTTTCCAATTAAATGTCGAGTTCCAAGGAATGTAACTTCAGTGAATTAAGAAAAAATCCAATAAGATATCCCAAAATGCATGTTTTCCACAGCATCAAAATGACATTATACATGTTTAGTGGAAAAATCATGCATAAAAGTCTAACAATTTGACAGACTATATAATTCAAAAGGACACAAAGCATTTTTTGATGTTGCCACAAAGTGGAAAATGAGCATGGCATTTAAATAAATCAGTAATTCTGCAAAAATCTGAAGTGACCCATAAAATCTACCTTGGTTCAGCTATATCCTCTCATTCCTCAATCCATTCTCATCACTGCTGCTTCCTGTGTTTCTAAGCAGGGTGCCTAGAATGTTAATATGTTATGTGAAAATATATATATGTATATACATATTTCATAGTCACATCCTTTTGGAAGGGATTGGGATAAACAAAGGAAAAACAGGTTTCTTATTTTAGACCATTTCTTGAAGACTTAACAGTGTTAAAGTACATCAGGAATTTCTAAGAGATGGGTAACTATATGTAACATTTCCTAAACTTCTCTATCCAAATCCCCCATCTGAGCATCCCATGGATCTCATATTCTGGGCAACACTAAGGTAAGGTGAACTAAGGTAAAAAGAGGAAAGAATTTGCTAGTGGCAAACTTAGAGATCTCCCTAAATAGAGAAAAACAAATGAGTGGATGATAAGATGAGGTAGACCATAACCGTCCAATAATTTAGACTCACTATGCATTTCTAGTTGGATCTTTCATAGGGCACTACTTAGTTTTTACTTTTATTTTTTAATGGTTACCCTTAATATTCTTTAAGGTAATTATATTTCCATTTAAAAAAAATAACCTCCTTCTTATATTCGATTACTTTTTCTCTTGCTTTCTTAATACCAAAGAAAGTATTTGTTGCAACTAGAAATTCATTTTTATTATCACAACTACCCCAGAACACTTGATTTCAGTTTATTTCATTAGCACTTCATATGCAGGTCAACGCACAGACATAGTATAAGAAGCTGCCAGATACAATCTGGCAACTCGTGTACATAATTTGACTCACAAAGTTTGAAGCCTTGAGCACAATAGTCTAAAATGAATCAGCAACTTTATTCTTTCTAAACAAGCGAGGTGAACATTTGACTTTCACTTCTTTGACCTGTTTTAGGCACTGATCAGTCCCTGGTCCACGAGACTAATGACTTGGGAAACTTGATCCCACCCACATAAAAATGATTTATTAGCTGACCTTATGCAAGTGACTTGCCCTGTCTATGCTGCCATTTTCTTGCCTGCTAAATAAGAATAAATCACTTTTCCAATATTTCCTCAATAAGCTAAAAGCACTGAGATAATATTTTAAAGTAGTTTGACCTTCACTGAAGAAAGATATTTTATAACCAATTGGAGTTAAATCCACCACAGGGCCAGTGTCATGGGACAATGATAATATGCTCACTAAGGGTGATATTAGTGCCATAATGAAAATGCTATACCGTAATGACTACCTACACAGAGGACATAATTTGATAATTTTACAGTGCCTTCAATTAATTATATCTAATCATAACAGCAATGATAGTTGAAGTATTAGAAATATTAGTTAAAAGCCATACTATACTTTTTATAAATAATATAATACAAAATAATAATAATAATATATAATTATATATATTTATAATTTATATAATTTATATATAAATATATAATATATAATATTTAATTATATTATAGAAATAATATAATATATATTTTCATTATAATAAACTATTCAATACTATATTTTTATAAATAATATAATAATAATATATAATAATATTATAATTATAAACTGTTGCATTCTAACCCTACACCAAACAAATTTCCACCGATGTTAGATCCATTGAGCATAAAAGTCATGATAACATAGCATTACTATTAGGACACTTAAGGAATGATGCCTAAAAATCTCACCATATTCCTTTGTAAGTTACCTGAACTCAGAAAAGTTCAATTGTTTTGCATTTTATTGTCCATTCCCACAAGATCATTCGATGCTATGAATACAATGTTTCACTATTTTATAATTACTTTAATATTTATATATTTTACTTTTTATTTTCTTAAGAACTTCTACTTGACCTCAAATCTTAATTAAACATAAGTTATATCAAAGAAATTGTTCCCCAAAACAGCCTGCTGATTAACACAAACACTAGGTTCCAAATGATGTAAACACTTCAAGTAATATAACGCAGCACAGAACAAGATCTTTCCTCAGAAACCATTGTTCACATACAAACAAGTCATTAGAAAGAGTCATAAGAAATTAGGTAGTGCTGATACATTCATTTATTTAATAAATATGTTTTGAGCATCCACTATGAGGCAGACACTGTTCTAAGATCTTGCTCTAATGGAACTTATATTCTAGTAATTAGGAGGGTATGAGTGTAATAATATTATTAAAAATTACAGAGCAAATGCTGCAAGCTATTTGTGTCTAATAAAAGGAAGGAATACAGTAATAAACATAGGACCCATATGTTCTCAGCACCTATCACCACTCGTAGCTTCAGAGAACTGAAGCAAAGCCTGTAAGCCTCTTTCATTATGAACTCTAAATAAACGTGACTCAGTGGCTTGTTGGTTTTATTGAACGTTCTTCTCTCCTGCCCTCCTGCACATACACGGCCTCATGGGCACACACAGACACACATGCACACATAGGCAATGTAATCCCTTTGCAATGCTTTTTCAAAGTAACACACTTATTATGCTGAGCTGCCTGGAAAAAACAACACTGATTCTAGAACTTGCATATTCAGTAAGGGGCAATAGCCCAAACACTATTCAATTTAAAAATAAAAGATTCTAAGATTGTAGGGATTTTTAACAAACAACATACGGATCAAAAGCAGTAATGCAGCTAAAAGGTAACAATAACTTAAAAATTCTTCGCGACTCAAATCGATGTCGTTACCATTTGCTTTAATTCCCTTCCCCCAAACTAAAGTCTGCAGTGTTGGTTGCTGCCCAGAAAACAGTCAGAAAGCAATGGTGAAGCAGTGATTATAAGCTTTCAGCTGTTATAAATCATGAATTTTTAACATCAGAGATTTACAGAATATCAACCGGTAATATTTATAATGTGGTTAGCAATGGTACAAAGCATAGAAAACAAGACAGTTACCAAATATCTTAAAATTAACTTGCACTTATAATTGCTTACACATGAACTAACTATTGCACACATAAGACTGACTGCTTCCAAAGTGAGAGACATTGGACAGCTGGGAACAAGGGACACTGAGATTTACACCTTTTTCGGTGAGTTTTGAAATACGAACCAAATGATTGTGTAGCCTCTTTTAAAAATGGGCTTTTTCTTCCCTGAAGTCCCTCTCTCAATAACTCACATTATCATGTCCCAATTTTGAAAGCATTACTGCTGCTTTAAAGCTAGATGGGATAATTACCCTATGCCTTAAGACTCTCAAACCTAGGACTTTGTGTTACTATAGCAGATTCCCTTTTCAGGAGTGAAACATATAAATACAATCTGATGACTAAGAATTTATATCAGACCGACTTCCTTGATTATTTGCTAAAGATTTCCTGTCATTCTATTGGCCTCACCGGTGAGGACATGCTTCCATCTTGCCTTCCTTCATCTTATCCATACCACCGTCTAACCCAGTGACTGACCACCCTAAATGTACACTAGAACTTCTTGGGATGTTTTGGAAAGGTACCAATATCTGGTTCCTCACTCCCAGAGATTCTGATCTAATTGGCCTTGAGTTGGACTGAGCATTGTTATGTTTTATGTGTCACCTAGGTGATTCTAATCTGCAGCCAGGGTTGAGAATCAATGCATAGTCCTTAGACACCAAGCACTACCTGAGGTGAGGCTATTTTCCAGTACCCACCTGCCTGGTTGCCCTAGTAGATGAGCCTGGAATTTAACACTAGCCTTGGCAGGTTTTCTCTGTTAGAAATAAATGAACCAATCCAAGTATTGATAAAAGAATATACTGATAACTGAAATCTGATTATAGGGGGCCATATACTGAGAAAATAATTGGGGAGAAATGCCTCATTGTTCCAAATTCTTTATGCCTTGACCTATAAACTAGACTCTAGACTGGACACATATATCATGATTTGTAGGACCTAGCATCCTGAGTACAATGCCCTTTCTCCAAAGATGGAAGGATTAGCCCCAGCTCAGCAGCTCTGTCTTTGTTGCCCAGAGACCTATGAAAGCTATCACTCCCATCTGGGGGTTTAGTTTGGTTGTATCACTACTTGAGAGGATTATATCTTAATCTTTTAGATGAAGGGTTCCTTACCTGAACTTCAGGAGAGTTCATGAATATTCTGAAATTATAAAAGAAATATGTACATGTTTATTTTCCTAGGGAGAGAAGCCAATAGCTTTTACCAGATTCTGGAAGGGAGTCCATAACCAAAAGCTTTCTAAGTATATGAGAGCCTCCCAAAACACGAAAATCTCTTCAAAGATTTTCTGTTCAGCTC